GGGCCCGCGGTTGTCGGAGCTGCTGGCGGCGGGCCGGCGCCTCTGGGAGGAGGTGGAGACCGGCGCCGAGCCGTCCTCGGGGGCCCCGGCCGTGCAGGATAAGGTGCGGCAGGGCCTGGAGGCGCTGCAGCGGGCGGCCGCCATGGTGGCGCAGCTGGACCTGTTCAGGTGAGGGGAGGGACGGGCCTGGGCCTGGGGGGACCTGCGAGGGTCTCTCCGTGCCTTCCGCCGCCTCCACACGGGCCCCCGGGCCGCCTCGGAGCGGGTAGGGCTTGGCCGGGCTCGGGTGGAGCGAAGCGGGATCGAGAAGGTTCATCTCTCCCCTTGCAGCGAGAACGAGGAGCTGGAGGAGATCGCCTCGGCCGACCTGAAGTACCTGCTGCTCCCCGCCTTGCTGGGGGCCCTGACGCTGAAGCAGGTCGACCTGAGCAGGAGGCTGGAGCACCTGGAGAGCGCTCGGGCCCACTTCTGGCGCTTCCTCAAGCTCTGCAGGAGCTACGGGCTGGGCAGCTTCCACCTACCCCCGGCTGCTGCCAGCACCCCGGGAGAGGAAGCTGCCGGGAGCCCGGGCCCGGGGGGCCCCGCCGCTGCCCAGCCCAGTCTGGTGGCCATGGCGTCGAGCAGGCAAGCCAAAATTGAAAGGTAGGCCCTTGCTTAGCGGTGTTTAAAGGCTTCTGGTCATCTGTCTAAGGGAAGGGGAGAGCCTCAGGCAGTGTGACAGTGTAGAGACAAGGACTGTCAGGAAAGAACTCGTTCCCTTGATACTGGAATACTTCGATCGTTAAACATTCCCTTTAAGATATGTGCCACATATTACTTAATGGTGTTGGATTGTGCACAGACTGGAGGGATGTATTTACATCTTCAGTTTCCAGCCTGCTAACGGCATAAAGCTGCTCATGTTGGAAGTTACCTACCAATGGGCTTTTAAAAGATCTTTAAAAAAGAGGTGGTTGATGCTCTTTGTCATGCTTTAGTTGGGGACTTCGTTGATTTAAGTTGGGTTTTACTGTGTTAAAGGCCTAAGTGGGGCTAAAGAGCTGTTTAAATTGCACAAATGCAAAAATCTGATTTATATTCTAGAGAGTAACTTAACTAAGATAAGTTTGGGGTACTGGAGTACATCAGGGCCTTTGTGGTCAGCACAGCAAAGCCTTTTCAGTGCCTTGTCAGCAGTGTCAGAGCTGCACATCACCTCCCCAGTGAGTTTTGCGGGCGCTGCAGGCCGGGTTTAAGTTATGTGTGTACTCCCCTCTCGCTGAGGGCTTGTGTTTGCCTGTCCTGTGACTCCTTCTGCTTGAAGACAAAAGGGAGGTGCCTGTGTTGTGAGTTCTGTCACAGGCAGGTCGATCAGGGTGAGGCGTTGCAATTGTATTTACTTTCAGTAAAAAGTGCAGGCAGCATGAACAAAATTTTCCTAAGGAGGCCTGTATCATCACACCGGCTCCAGACCCGGCTCATCCTCACTGCCTGCGGCCTCGCTCTCTGAGGCGATCCGGCGTCCTGGGGGACAGGCTGGGATGGCAGTGGCCAACTGAAGAAAATTTATCCCACTGCAGAGCATAAAGACAAATGGGAACGGGTGGTTTGCTTTGCTTCCCCACAGGACAGGTCTGGGCAGTCAGGTGTTTGGCTGGTTAAGATGTATTTTTGGGGTTCTTGTGGCTCTTTGTTTGGGTTTTTTTTTAAATGACTTTTCTGTGCTCCTTGTCCTTTGAGCTCCCGTGGGTTTCTAATCCTTGCTTCTTACTGCTCATTCTTCAGGCAGCACTGTAGGAGGAAGTGGGACACAAGGATTTAACCTGGAAGTGTATTATATAGGTAGTTCCCCCCTTTAATTCCTGAAAAGGCCAAAAAATCCAGAAAGCCAAAATTATATTGAAAAACAACCCACAAAACCAGCTGAGACAGAAATTGGAGAAGTGTTTTGATCTGCCTTGTAAGCGGCTTCTTGGTATCGTTGTGTCATATAGAAGCAATTCAAAATAGCTGTTGCACTGGTTTTCTCAGTGAAGGAGCTGATGAGTTACAGTCCTGTTTTCTCCAGATTAAAGTTGCCAGGCTTGCCTAATTTTACCTGGGAGGCTTAATTTTCGAGGATTGCTCAACTTTTAGGAGAAGAGAAATAATTGAGAGAGGCGCCTCTAAATTTAAACTGTCTTCTTCAAAGCTACTTGAAACAGAGAGGAGATACTTAAATTACAACAGTAAATCATCACAACCTCCCTTTTTACATACAATTTTCTTTTTAAATACATGAAATCATGTTAAACCTCTTAGGGTAGTAAAGATGCTACGTAATGTCTAAATTTGAGTTGGCAGATGGAAGTGGTGAGGAAGACGGGAGGAAAATATTTTGCACGTATGCATATAACCCTGCACTTTCAAAGCCTTTTAAAAGCAGATTGGAACTCTTATGTAGTTTTCTTTGACAAAAAACTTCTGTTGGTGGTGAGTTGAGGTGAGGGGATGGGTCCCCCCCTGCTTGGTGTTTAACAACGTGTAAGCACAAGGCAAGAGATGATCAGTAAATGACAACCAGTGTGATCTGGTGCTGCCCGTGCTCTTCCTGTGAGTCTCTGCTTCACTTTTCCAGGACTCTCAGTTGTTAAATAAGTGGGTCCTACTCGCCCAGAGAAGTCAAAAGTCAAAGGCACGTGAAGCTTTATGAATATCTGGGGTTTATGTATCCTTATGAGCACTGGTCAGCAACTGTGAAGAGCAGTGGAAAGGGGATTGGGGCAGGAGGTGGCTCTCTAACTACATCTGATTGAATTTCAGGAAATAAGAGATTGTTTATTGCAGAAAACACCGTATCTGGGCTGGGCTGGAGAAAGGTTATTTGATGATCTCACTTTGTTCTCCTTGAGACAGGTATAAGCAGAAGAAGGAACTGGAGAACAGGTTGGCCTCTATGAGAACCTTCGTGGAGGGCGGGCAAGCAGATGAGGATCAGATACGGGAATTTTACATACTACAAATCCAGAAATGGATCAACACCAGCCTGGAGGAAATTGAGAGTATTGACCAAGAAATGGTCATCCTGAGGAGCAGAGGTACCGCAAAACAGGTATGAGATCTCTCTTGAACTGCAGGGCCTGGGGACTGCGGACGGGCGCACCTGGTGCTGGGCGCTGTTGTGGGTAAATGAGCCCCAGAGGAATTCAGTAGCAGAGTTATGTTAGTTTTATTCGAATTCTAGATTGAAATTTAGCTCAGTCACAGCACAAGCAGATGAGGTTTGGTTTAATTCTGGTCTGACATTGGGATTAGTCACTGTCCACTGCTGCCACGTGTTCTAAGCAGTCGTGGCTGGTGAAATGCTAGAGCTTTGAATATCAGAGCTGAACCGGTCTCATGCAAAAGCCTTTTCTCCACTTTGCTGGGTTCTGCCAGACCCTTAACTCTAAAGAAGTGAGTACATTTACAATTAAAAGACCCTTGTGATTTCTTTCAGCCCTACGCTTCTGGTCTACAACATGCCCACATGTTACAGAAATAAATACCCATTCTGAACGATGAAAGCTTCTCATAGACCTGCCATTCCTGCGTAGAATAGTATCCTGGGCTTTACATTACTCACCTAAAATGTCTGTTTAGAAATAAAAATTCATAATGTGCTGACACAGACCATGGTCCAGCCCAGTGGGCACAGCTGGTTTGTGCAGTTCGTTACTGGCGTTGCAGAGCTCTGCTCTTCTGTAGTGCCCTGGGTGATATCAGTGGGAACAACGAGCTCTGCTGGCTTCGGAGTGTGCTGCGTTTGATCCCTGGGAAAAATAAACTATATTTCATGCTTTGATCTGAGCTGATCTGGTTTAGCTCTGTCAGCTTTCCGCTTTGATCAGAGCGGCTGTAACAGAGGCACAAACAGAAGTGATTTGTGGAAACTCACAGATGGAGTTCATGATTTAAAGCGGAGTAAGGCCTGAATTGTCCATCTTGCTCTGACAGCAGAGACATTTGTCTTCTACAAGACCTTTAATAACTTGTTTGGGGTGGGAAGCAGGGAAGGGGGTTCTCATTTACACGATTATCTTGTGACTTCTGTTTGCATCTTCAGTCTTCAGCACCACCACACGGTACTTCTCGGCAAGCCAGGGCTCCACTGAAACCTTTCATTCTTACCCGGGATGCTGCTCAGGCTAAGTATGTTCGTTTGTGGTTATTTGGACACAGCATGAGGCAGTGCTCTGTTCTTAGGTCAAGCTGAAGATACTCTTTGAAAGTCATTACCTTCAGGCAGCACATCGCAGCGAGATGGTGTGTGTTGTGCTGCTGAGCAGGGGACAGGGGGAAGGTCTAATGCATTTCTTGGACTTTCTCTGATTTTATTTTTTTTTTTTTGTTACCGGCGCACTGCAGTGTCTTGGCTAATGCTGTTGGGATGGCAGAAGGGGGGATGTTGTTAAGCAAATGTCGCTGTGTTAGCTGCTAGGCCACGACTTTGCCGTTTGGTAAGCTGCAGAGAGGCAAGGCTTATCCGGCCCCCTAACCTTTGTGTGCTACAACAGGATGGTTCTTCACTCTTACAATAGAGCCCCGCAGTGAAAAGCACACATGGTCTCTGATGTAAACCTGGGAAGATTTCAGTGAATTCAGAGGTGATCATAGGGGCTGGGAAGATGTGATACCTACCAGAGAATCATCAGTCACAATAACACCAGTTTCAGCCGTGAGGCTTTCCCAAGAATATCAGTCTTAACGCTTTGTGGCACCGTGAGATTCTTGCAAGGAATATAGCAGCTAAAGCACAAAATGGGATAGGGAGCAGCTTTCTTGTCATGCGTTTGACATTATTTGCCCTCAGCCTTCCAGATAACTATTTAGCCAAACCGTGCCTAACTTGGTTCCCCTTGGCAGGCTGTGCTAGCACAGCGTGTTCCGCTTTGGGCTGCAGAAGGGATCGAAGGTCTTTGGGCTGGAGCAGCCTTCATCTCTCTAAACGAGCAGCAGGATCTCATTAGGCACGTTACAGCCTAAATCTGAAGGCCCGGGCTGTATCAGGCCCTCCGTGATAACGTGCCTGCCGTTGGTACGCATCGGGTTACGGAGCAGTTCTGTGCATGGTTGTCTGTGTTTCTGCTCCTTCGTAGCGATGTCAAGGGCTGTCTTTGCCTGTCTCTTCCTGTAGAGTGTTTGGGGCCGGGTATCCCGGGCTCCCCACGATGACCGTGGACGACTGGTACGAGCAGCGCCGCAGGCAGGGGGTCGTGGCTGGGCAGAGCGTGCCGCAGAGAGCAGCAGGTAGGAGCGGCGAAGCCAAGGGGTAGAGAATTTGGGAAGTCTCAAGGGGGAAGGTGAACGGGGACATGGTCAGGGTGTGAAACACCCACTGGCTGAGGAAAAGTATGAGCTGACTTTGTCAGGCTGTGAAAGTAACTGGGCTGAGCTTTGGCAAGTCCCACTTTCTGTCTAGACCAGCGCCTGGCAGGACTTCTGCTTGGAGGGCTCGAGTAGGGATCTCCCCCTGTCTTACTGCCCCTCCTGTTCTTGACCTTCAGCAGCTATAACTGATGAAGAGTTGCAGAAGCAGCAGCAGGAGAAAAAAGAGGAAGAGGATGATGAGGAAGCTCTTCAGAAAGCTCGGAACTGGGACGACTGGAAGGATACGCACCCGAGAGGCTACGGCAACCGGCAGAACGTGGGCTGATGCTCTCGCTGTGGAGGGAGCAGGGCCTGGAAATGCTGTAAGAATCGCCCGTGTCCTGGAGATAGAGGAGTAAATACACTGTACATAGGCGGAGGTACCCAGGGCTTCGCTGGGAGGCACCAGGGTCGGGAGTAAACCTGACAGTTTGCTTTGGTTTACATTAAATGTCAGACTGGAGCACACTGGGCATGTACAGAGATACCCCAGAGCTCCTCGCAGGTGGGCCTTTTGCTGAGGGGTCAGGCTGCCTCTGTTCTCCCAGAGGAAATCCTTGAGAGGAAAGTCCCTGAATTTGGAAACCGCTCTTTGTATTGTGGGTGGATGTATTTTTTTTTTTTCCTCTCTATTTTAAGCAAAATAAAATCTCTTGTGCTGCCTAGTTCTTGCTGTGAAAATCCCTTGCTCTTCATCCCAGGCTCTTGCAGAGGAAGCCTGTCAGGCTGAATTCCAGCCACCAAAGGAGTTGGGGATGGGAAATAGGGAACATCCAACAGCTTGTTTCCTCTGCCGAGGCTTCTTGTGGCACAGCCGGGTGGCCTTTCCCCAGGCTTGTGCCTCTGTTCCTCCCAGAGCAGGTGGCCAGGAGCGCTGGGGTTTTTTTTTTTTTTTTTTTTTTTTTACATTAAGTTGATCAGGTGTTTTGAGGGTGATGTCTGGAAGGGCTGATGCTACACGTAGTACTAATGGTTTAATAGAAATACTTGTGCTTTTGCTTGGCGTGGTGTGGGGATGGCGTGGCTTTAGCGTACCTGGTGTAATGCACAACGTGTGTGTGTGTGTTTGTGCTCCAGACCCTCTCGTGGAGCCCGACGGGCCAACGCTGAGACAAATGGTGCTGTATTCAAAGCGAAGTAGCATGTGGGTTGTCAGTGTGCTTTGAAATCTACTTGCAGAATGACCCCAAGGGGGTAAAAACATTTTCTGGGTTCCTCTGAAGGTCCTTTAAATAGCTGCTGGCTCTTACCCTGAACTGGGTGAAGGGAGGGGACACGGCAGGTCTGGCGCTGAGCCGGCCCACGTGTGTTTCTGGGTGGAAAAGTGAGGAGTCACGGCTGGAAGGGTGAGTTGCCCAGTGTGGGCTGGCAGCTGGGCCTGTGGTTCCAAACCTGTCACAAATGTTGGGATAAAAAAATGAAAGAAGCATCGCTGCTGCTTGTGCTTGTGGTAGTGTGTCACCCAGAGCAGGCCACGGGGCAATTTTGGGTTCAGCAGCAGGGTGCTCCCTTATCCTGGGGACAGCAGGATTCTGAAAGAATTTGGGGTTTTTTTCCTTCCTATTAGCACGTCCTCGGCAACTCCCTGCCAGGAGGGGGCAGAGAGGGGGGATGAGTCTCTGGAGCCAAGGCCCCAGCGCCAGGCCCCGAGGGAATGGCCTCAAGCTGCCCAGGGCAGGGTCAGGCTGGCTCTGAGGAAGGATTTCTGTGCAGAAGGGGCTGTTGGGCGTTGGAATGGGCTGCCCAGGGCAGGGGGGAGTCCCCGGGATCCCTGGGGGGGTTGAAGAGTCGGGCTGAGCCAGCACTGAGGGGTCTGGGGGAGTTGGGAACGGTCAGGGAGAGGGTCATGGTTGGGCTGGAGGAGCTGCAAGGGCTTTTCCAACCCAGATGACTCTGGGATTGTGTAGGGTGGAAGGGACCCCCGGGAGGTGGAAGGTTGGAGGAGGAAGGACACCCAGCTATGAGTGGCGTTGGAAGGCAACACTTGCCTCGTATCCCTGCTGTGCCCTCAGCCTGACCCTTGTGTCCCCTCCTGGCAGTGGGGGAGCCAGTGATGGTGCCCAAGATCGAGAACCCGAGCCATGAGATGGTGGACATGTACCACGAGATGTACATCCGCTCCCTGCTCAAGCTCTTCAACGAGAACAAGACCAAGTACGGGTTGTCGGAGTCGGACGAGCTGCACATCCTCTGAGTGCGGCCGGTGCCGGCGGCCAGATCCTGGCTCACAAGGGCGGTTGGCTCTTGCGGGTGGGGATTTCAGCCGCCCTGGCACAGGGGACACGTGGGGGACCACTCCCCACTCCACCCCTCTGCTCCTCCACCCGAAAAACCTGCACAGGAGGTGGGAGGAGAGGAGGAAAGGAGGGGAAGGGAGAGATGGGGAAAGGGTCCCCCTTGAAGGGTCTGAAGGCTGCAGGTGACAGTTTTCCCCTGAGGATGTGGCAGGGGCTGGTGCGAGGCTGGGGGCCAGCAATGGGCACGGTCCCCCCAAGATAACTGGGACACCATGAGCTGAGGGAGGGGGTGTCATGGATAGAGGGAAAGAGATGGGTTTTTTAGGGGTCTCTCCCAGGGGCCAGTGGGAGCAAGAGGGAGAGACAACTCCCTTGGAGTGGAGGGGGGACACTCCTGGACTTGGGGACCTGGGGAAGTGGCCTCAGCTGGGACCATGTTGCCCTGGGTGGGGGCAGGTGCTGCACTGGCCACGGATGAGCCTTTTCCACCACCTCTGTAGCCAATACAGATTTCCAACCCCTGTGGTGCTGCCTGTGTGTGCTGGGGGCCAGGGAGGGGGGCAGGATCAGCACTGCTGGGGCTCTACCCCCATGCTCCCTGTGCAGGTGGACATGCCACCCGCCCATGTCCCCTCCCTGGCTGTCCCATCTCCTTGGCAGGGACCTTTGCACCACTCGGGTGCAACCAAACAGCTCCCGGGTCCACCTGGGCCACGTCGGACATACCAGGAGGTGAGGGGCAGCAGCTGCTCTTACTGGGTTAACTGGGTTTGGGGAGGAGGGTGGTGGTCTCCTCCTCTCTCTGGGTTCCACTCCCTGGTGAGATGGGGACGTGGGGCTGGGACATGGCATCCCTCGGCGCCTCTCCCTCCCCGCCTGACCTGGGCAGCTCCTGGTGGGATGGGGCTGGTGCCACAACTCGGGGGTGACCCCCTGATGACGCTATGGGTGTCCCTGGAAGGACTCATGGGAGTCTCCGTGGTGGGGCCCGTCCCTGCCCGGGGTTGGTGGGGGATTGTCGCCAGCACCGATAGTCATCTCTTGCCCGCTCCTCTCTGCGCAGGCACTTGGTCAAACAAAAGGGCTGGGTAAACATTTGGAAAGCAAACACCCGTAAAGGCAGATTCCCGAGGACTCTTCCATCACCGTGGGTGTCACCACGCCGGCTCCTCGCTCTGGTGTCGAGGTGCTGGGTGGCTTTTGCTCTCAAACAGTTTCTGGGGCGAGGGTGGGCGTCTCATCCCTCTTCCTTCTGCTACAGAGAGAAACAGGTCTGGGCGTAGAGAAAGGGGAAAGGGTTTTATTGGGGGGTTACGGGCAGCAAGTGCCCCACGCCGCCTCCCTCCCCGCCTCTCCCAAGGTCAGGAGTGTGATGGGTACGTCTCCGAGAGCCTTTGCCAGGCACGCGGGGGGCCCAGCGTTGGCTCCATCCCTGGGTTCGGTCTGGTGCCCACACGTTGCTGGTGAGCAGAGTGGAAGGGCTGCATGTGCCCAGAGAGGGACCAGCGTCCCTTCTCTCCAGGGACGTCAGCCCCCACGTGTCCCCAGGAGTGCCCTGGGATGGGACATCAGCCTATCTCCTCAAAATTACTTTCTCGGCATCTTCCCCGCTCCCATGGGTGCCTGGCAGTTGTCCTGCCCTGAGTGGCATCCACACCTTCCTACCGCAGCATCCCAGGGCAGGGCTGGGACAAGCCCTGTGGCCACCGGCCCTCAGCCCTGCAGTTTCTACCCCTGCGAAGGGGGGGTCAGGGTGCCCACATGGAGCCCGGAGGGGCTGCAACTCGTGGAGACCAGGGCTGAGGTTACTGGAACCCCCTTTGTCCCCTCAGCACCTGCCTCCGCTCCGTGCTGTCCCTGTCCCTTGGGTGTCACTGGCCACGTGGCTGCCACCCATGACGTTGTCCGTGGAGGGGGGGGATACCAGGGCCAGTTCGCACGTGGGCACGGGCCGGAGGCGGTGGGCTGGCCCCCGGCGCAGCCGCCCGCGGTACTTGTCCCCAACCATAAAGTACAAGATGGGGTCGAGGCAACTGTTGATGCTGGCCAAGGGCCGAGTGATCTTGTAGGTGAAGTTGATGATGTTGAGGGTCAAGCAGTTGGCTTGGAAGTAGCGGGAGGTGTAGTAGATGGTCCGGGTGATGTGGAAGGGCACGAAGCAGATGGCAAAGACGCTGAGCACGATGATGATCATCTTGATGGAGCGCTGCTTGTAGGAGGGCATTCGGGAGCTGGGGCTGGAGAAGCTGGACTTGCAGAGTCTCTTGGCCATCAGGCAGTAACAGAGGACAATGACCAGGAAGGGGACCCCGAAGAGGAGAGCCATGACAGAGGAGCTGTAGTGCACGTAATGGTCGAACTCCTCAGGCTTGGTGGTGTCGTGGCACAGGGTGCTGTTCCCCTTGGAGCTGGTGGTGACGAAGATGAGGTTGGGGATGAGGCAGATGGTGACGACGAGCCAGGCACCCACGCAAATGATGCGGGCGTGCTTGGTCTTCACCCACTTGAGGGAGCGGATGGGGTGGCAGATGCCCACGTAGCGGTGGATGCTGATACACGTCAGGAAGAGGATGCTGCTGTAGAGGTTTGCGTAGAAGAGGAAACGCACGATCTTGCAGAGCCACGTCCCGAAGGGCCAGTTGTTGCGGTCGGCGTAATAGTAGACCAGGGTGGGGAGGGAGAGGACGTAGAGCGTGTCGGAGACGGCCAGGTTGATCATGTAGGTGGTGGTGGCGTTCCAGGGCCTCATCCTGGAGATGAACATCCACAGGGCCCAGGAGTTGAGGGCCAGGCCCACCACGAAGACGATGCTGTAGGAGACGGGCAGCAGAATGAACTTGAACTCCTCATTGAAGACGCACTTTGTGTCTGCCGCCGCCGTGGTGTTTCCTCCTGGCCAGGGAGCCAGCGTCGGTGTCCACAGGGCAACTGGGAACGTCCTCACTGGAGTGGCCATGTTCTCCGAGCCAGATCTAGGGGAGCAGTTAATAAAAGCGCATTAGTCGTTGATCCCGACCATTGTCAGGCACAAAGCGTGGAAAGGAGCCAAAGATGCCAGATTTCCCCCCCCTCCAGGAGCTCCGGCCACTTTGATGGTTCTCTGGTTTTTCTCAGCTCGCGCGTTCGGGCCTCGCAGGGAGCTGAGGGAGGCTTGACAAATCCTCCCCTTCGCAGCCCCCGCAATGACACCCATTAATCATCCCTTTGAGCAGCGCGCAGTGACACCAGCGCCGCGTGGAGCCGGGAAGCGTGCCTGAGACAGAGGGCCGCGCCGGCCCCGCCGGCCAGCAGCCCCATGGTGAGCTGAACAATGAGACCTTTATGAGCAACAGCAGCCCCCGGCCGGTGCCAGCGCAGCCTCTTGGAAGCCGGCTCAGCCTAATTGGCACCATCCTGACAATGCTGCTCGTCCCAGAGGGCTCCTTGACAGAAGAAAGGCGGGAGGAGAAGAAAGGCTTGTCTAGGGGAATATTATGGCCCAGAGAAATCCTCAGGGGGCTGTTAAAGAAGCCTTTGGGAGAGAGCGTCCCTGGACGGTGAGGGGGCCTCCAGCTGCCGCGTATTCTCCGCAGGAGAGGGATGATCTAAGCCCTGCAGAGAGGAGCTGCGCCAGAGCCAAGTCCCGGCCCAAGACGGTGCAAGTTCACAAGGCAGGCAGGACATTTCCCCTCGCACAGCGCTGGGATCAAAGCCTGGGATCTGCAGCCTCCTGGTACATCGGGCCCCAGGGCTGAGGCGTGAGGGCAAGCTGTCAGTGTTGCGTTTGCCTCTCGGGATGTCTGAAGTTCAGAGCCCACTCCTCCAGAGGGAATCACAGAATCCCAGAATCCTCTAGGTTGGAAAAGCCCCTGCAGCTCCTCCAGCCCCACCATGACCCTCCCCCTGACCGTTCCCAACTCCCCCAGATCCCTCAGCGCTGGCTCAGCCCGACTCTTCAACCCCCCCAGGGATCCCGGGGACTCCCCCCTGCCCTGGGCAGCCCATTCCAACGCCCAACAGCCCCTTCTGCACAGAAATCCTTCCTCAGAGCCAGCCTGACCCTGCCCTGGGCAGCTTGAGGCCATTCCCTCGGGGCCTGGCGCTGGGGCCTTGGCTCCAGAGACTCATCCCCCCTCTCTGCCCCCTCCTGGCAGGGAGTTGCCGAGGGCCAGGAGGTCTCCCCTCAGCCTCCTCTTCTCCAGACTGAACCCCCCCAGTTCCCCCAGCCGCTCCCCAGCAGACCTGTGCTCCAGACCCTGCCCCAGCTCCGTTGCCCTTCTCTGGCCATGACCAGAGGCCATTCAGTGGCCTTTTTGTAGAAGTAGCTCCTGCCACCATGGGGGCATCTAGCAAAGGACCAGTGAGGCTGCCCATACCCTGGCCCCTCCACACCATCTCCAGCCCTGGTGAAGCGATTTCAGAGCAGCCACTTCTGCTGGCTGAGGATGGATGCTTGGATGAGTACCTGGGAGCAGGAGCATCTGCCGTGCTGCCAGCAGACGAGGGTGCAGCCAAACCCGTGTCTGAGGGAGGGAACCGTGGAGTGGCTCCCGGCTCTGTTGGTGATGGGCACCAGGACGGAGGCTCAGGGAGATGATGTGTGTTAGCGGGATGCTGGTGGTACAAGGTGGAAGGCTACATCCTCTCCGGCTTCTTCACCCCTGGGCTCCCTCATCATCCCCCCCGTTTGTCCCGGTGCAGCCTGACAGCTCCTCGGGGCAAGCACTGGAACATCCCGTAGGGTGTATCCGTGGGGTCAGCTGAGCTGCAATCCAGCTTCTCCTGGCAAAGCCTCACCCGGAGAGACATCCCTGCGTTTACAGAGATGATGATAAGTGCATCAGCAGGCAGGTGGCCGCGGGACCGGCCCCTCCGTGCCGCACGCACCTCCGTGCCCTCTGTTTGCGTTCTGGGCCGAGCCGCAGCTCTGGGCTCCCATTAAACACCCTGCAGCTTCCTCCCCGGCGCGGGCACCTGCCTGGCTTTATTACAGGGATGAGTTCAGAGAGCAACAGGCACGTCCTGATCAAACATTAACAGCGGGAAGAATTTGCTCTGTTTTCCCAGAACTGGGAGGGAAAAACAGCTGGTAGGAAACCCTTGAGCCCCCAAGCGCTGGTGCTGGTCCCACAGGGTGCTGTGCTGGTCGCGCTGGTCCCAGTCCAGCAGCTGCGTCTCCCCAAACCACGATGCTGCTGAGGACGGGAGGCACCAGGAGGTTTGTTTTCCTCTTCTAATCTCTGAGTGCAAGAGAGCATGAATTTTGAGCCCAACCAGAGCGGAGGTGCTGCAGGGTTCAGTGATCAAAGCCAATGCCCATGACATGGGGTCAGCAGACAGCTGAGATATGGAGAAGCCAGTAAATAAAATAATAATGATCTGGTGTGAGAAACGCATCAGGAAAAAGCCTGAGAAGCTGTGTGGTGGTTGGCTGCTTGGAGGAGAGCACAGGTGCGCAGATTCTGGCAGCTGATAAAGCCTGAGCACAGTCAGTGCTCAGCAGTGTGATTTAACCATTCCTAAGCAAGCTTCCTTTGGGGGTAACCACCGAAAAATATAATAATTTAAACTAAAAAAAAAAAAAAGACATTTAGCAAGCTTTATCTCAGCAGATTTCCTACTTCCTCATCTTAGTCATGATCAAAATCTGTGGTTTAAATTACTGATTCAGATCAGTCCACCCCGAGGACACGTCACTGCCAGGCCCGTTCCTGCTCCTCGCTGACGTCCCCAGCGCAGCTCTCCCCGGCCACGGCCTCCCAGCGTCGGCTTCACAAGGAGGGACCGACCACAGCTGCGGTGAGGTCTGAGCCGAGCATTCGGGCTCGCTGCGGGAGGCACGGCAGGGAGCGCGCGGAGCTGGGGAGGTGATGCCCGCTCCTGCCCTGCCTGTTTTGTGGATGCGTGAGGGCCGCGATGCTGGGCAATCTGTTGCCCGTGGCAAACACATCCCCCGGGATGGTGCCTGTGGGATGGCGTGTACCCCGGGAAGCAGCGAGGGGTCCTGTAGAACACCCCCACGGCCAGCCACAGCGGAAAGGGGCAGGGGCCGGCCGCGGGCCGTCAGGGGGCACGTGCTGCCTTGACCCTTTGCTGCAGGAACAGGCGCTCAGCCCTGGCTCCCCGCCCCGCAGCCGTACCCAGCCTGAACCCGTCCTTTGTCCCCGTGGCCAGCACCAGCCCCGGAGGGAGCCAGTGGCCACCCCTAGCCCAGGGGGCCCCCAGCCCGGGGTGCATCAGCAGCTGGCCAAGGCTCCTGCCCTGGGGATTTACAGGGGGGTGTTGGAAAAGCACCGATGAAATGAATGAGTGGGGCAGCGCCAAAGGCAGACTCTGCCCTGGAGCCAAAGTCCTGCCGGCTGGCAGGTCGGGACGGGGCTGGCGGGGTTCGGGGTGTAGCGGGCAGGAGCTTCACAGAGGGGACGTGCGAGGCGGGGAGTGAGCAGCTGCCGAGGGACACGGGGCTGGGTGAGCCTGGGTCTGAGACTGGGTGAGCCTGGGACCGGCTGCTGCTGGAGCCCGGGAAAAACAGGGCTTTTCTTCTCGCCTAAGCTCTCGGAAATTGCAAAACAAGGGGAAATTATGCAAAACATCCTGCAGAAGGACCCTTGTCCCTAATCGCCACGTGGTTCGTGCAGCCAAAGCCCCGGCACAAGGAGCGTGACCTAATTTCTTTTCTGTCCTTCCCTTGGACTGCGAGAGCAGCCAAAGCACGATCTGCCTGCGCTGCCGGGGTGCCGGTGCCTCCTCCCTGGAGACACCAGCGGGGTCGGGTGCTTTCCTTGCTGCCCACCACATCCCCTGCTCCGAGGTGACCCCTTTTCTCAGCTGGGTGGGAGGGTGAGGGTTTTCTTTCACCCTTGGGTGGGTTGTCCCTGTCCCTCTGCCTCCCCAGGGAAGGGCAGGAGCCCGCAGCATCGGGCTAAGCCGCGGCAGCTTTGCCCTATGAGGAGACAGCGAGGAGGGGGATGGAGAGGAAGATGAAGGAGAGGAGGTGGCCACACTGCGAGGATGAAGGCCCTTGGTGATGGAGGAAGGCAGTGGCGTGTTAGGGAGGAGGATGCACAGAGGGATTTGGGGATGGTGAAGCATGGGCACAACTGGCTCACCCCCACCCCGCATCCCTCCAGCCCTGGGGATCCCGCCTCCATCTCTGAGGGGCCAAAGCTGGTCCCCACAGGGCCCCCCCAGAGCCACGGCGGGGCCATCCCAGCTCCTGCTCCCCACCAAGCACGGGCTGTCCCGGCTCACCTGCGGTCCTGGGCTGGGGTGGCTCTCAGGAGTGGGGGTCCCCTGGGGAGCGCCTGCACCCCGCGGGGTGGGGGGCCATGCCAGAGGGGCTGTGGGTTGCCC